GAAGGATGACTGCTGACAAGAAAAAGGGGGAAATTATCCTGCTCTCTCTCTCTCTCTCTCTCGTAAATAGTGCCCTGGAATCTCTGCAGGAATGTTGCCTTGGTCTAGCACCGCTTCTGAAAGCTGGCACCTCCCTCAGTATGTGAGCTGATGGCCTCGCCTCAGAGCGGAGAGGGTTAATCACTGAATGGTGGTTGGTGCATTGACACACTGGCTTTCCTTTGGGGACACTAGATACTGAGCAACCAGGGAAATGTGGCTGTTTTTACAAATGCCAATCTTTCAACTTCAGATCCTCAAACTCCCCTCACTGTCTCAATGTTGGTAAGCATTTCAGCCTCATACAATTCCAGGCATGATGGCACAGTTTCACACTAAACAGTCAGTGTCTAAAATCTTCCCCATAACAGAGGCATCAGAGGTGAACTTTATCCTCCCTTCAGTCCCACAGCCACAATGTCCATCCTCCCCCTCACTGTGATAACTGACAAAAGGACGACTTGCATTTAGATAGCACCATTGGGGCAATCTCAGGACATCTCAAAGCGCTTTACAGCCAATGAAATGCTTCTGAACTGCAGCCATTTCTGTAATGCATCCAACGTGCACACAGCACGATCCCACAAACATCAATGATGGGAGAAGATCTTGAGTTGATGTTCATTGAGTGGTGAATATGTCGGCCAGGATACCTGGGAGATAGCTCCTGACCGAACATCCACACTCAGTGTTTAGTGATTGCAGATATGTGTTAACCGGATGCTGCTGCAATGGGAGAGTTCAGTTCTGTGGGAACATTGGTCAAGATTGGATTGTCATTCTAAGGGCAGAGAGGTTAAAGGGTAATATTTAATGCATGTCTTTAAGTCAGGGCTTCACATAGTTTGAAGCTCAACATCCTAGGTGGGATCATGAACTGAAGTATTGAGGCTCCCACCCCTATGCGATCCTTTCTTTCTGTTCCTGTCACTCACAGAGGGGCCATGGCACCTTTCAAGTTGCAAAATGGGGTCACACTGGGGGAAAAATGGGCTTGCGAAGCACAACTTCACTATTATTTTTCATAAAGTAACTAAGGACAAGATTTAGAGAAGGGAAGAGTGTTAGCTAAAGCATATTCATGATTATTGGTTAAAGAGCGAGTCATGAGATTTGGCAAATCTTTATTTCCTGCGTTGTCTGGAACATTGGCAGAGTCATGATCAATAATAAGGAAAGTGGCTTAGTGCATAAAAAGTAAAACATGACAGAGCCACAAGGCAAGAGCAAGGGAGTGAAGGATCAGTGCTGGGTCCACTGCCTGTTGACATTTATGTAAATGAATCATTGAATCCCCCACAGTATGGAAACAGGCCCTTCGGCCCAACAAGTCCACACCGATGCTTAGAGCATCCCTTCCAGACCCAGCCCCCTATAACCCACCTAACGTACACATTGCTGAACACTACGGGCAACTTAGCATGGCCAATCCACCTAGCCTGCACATCTTTGGACCGTGGGAGGAAACTGGAGCACCCGGAGGAAACCCACACAGACTCGGGGAGAATGTGCAAACTCCACACAGACAGTCACCCGAGGGTGGAATTGAACCCAGGTCCCTGTGGGGTAGCAGTGCTAACCACTGAGCCAGTGGGCCAAATAGAGGAGGAATGGTTAGTAACTTTGTAGATGGCACCAAAACTGGTGGTGCAGTGGACAGTGAAGAAGATTATCACAGAGTACAAGAGGACCTCGATCAGATGGGTTGAGGGGTGGCAGATGGCGTTTAATTCAGATAAATGTGAGGTGCTGCATTTTGGAAAGGCAAATCAGGGCAGGACTTAAACACGTAAGGTCTTGGGGCATGTTGCTGAACAAAGAGACCTTGGAGTGCAGGTTCATAGTTCCTTGAAAGTGGAAGTGCAGGTAGGCAGGATAGTGAAGAAGGCATTCGGTATTCTTGCCTTTATTGGTCAGTGCATTGAGTATAAGTCAATATCTGTATATTGCAGCTGAACAGGACATTGGTTATAGAGAACACAGTGTGGAGCTGGTGGAACACAGCAGGCCAGGCAGCATCAGAGGAGCAGGTGAGTTGACGTTTTGGGTCGGGACCCTTCTTCAGAAATGGGGGAGGTGGAAGGGAGCTCTGAATTAAATAGAGAGAGTAGGGGTGGGGCTGGGGAAGGTAGGTGGGAATGGTGATAGGTGAGTGCATGTAGGCAGTGGTGGGGATTGGTCAGTGAGGAGGGACGGGTGGATAGGTGGGAGAGAAGACGGACAGGTCAGGGAGGCAGGGATGAGAGGGATGGTTGGTCATGGGATGAGGCCGGGGGTGGGAAGATTTTGAAACTGCTAAAGTCCACAGTGAGACCATTGGACTGTAGGCTCCCAAGGTGGAATATGAGGTGCTGTTCCTCCAGTTACCAGGTGGCGTCATTGTGACACTGGAGGAGGCCCAGGATGGACATGTCGTCCAAGGAGTGGGAGGGGGAGGTGAAGTGGCTCGCGACTGGGAGGTGCAGTCGTTTGTCACGAACCGAGCGTAGGTGCTCCACAAAGTGGTCTCCGAGCCTCCGCTTGGTTTTCCCGATGTAGAGGAGGCCACATCGGAAACAGCGGATACAGTATACCACATTAGCAGATGTGCAGGTGAACATCTGTTTAATGTGGAAGGTTTTTTTGGGGCCTGGGATGGAGGTGAGGGGGGAGGTGTAGGGTCAGGTGTAGCACTTCCTGCGGTTGCAGGGAAAAGTGCCGGGTGTGGTGGGGCTGGAGGGGAGTGTGGAGCGGACAAGGGAGTCGCGGAAAGAGCAGTCCCTACGAAAGGCAGATAAGGGTGGGGAGGGAAATGTATCCTTGGTTGTGGGGTCAGATTGCAGGTGGCGGAAGTGGTGGAGAATGATGTGTTGAATCTGGAGGTTAGTGGGGTGATATGTGAGTACAAGGGGGATTCTGTCTTGTTTTTGTTGGGGGAGGGAATGTGAGGGCAGAGGTGTGGGAAACGCAAGTGATGCGGTCGAGGGCATTTTCGATCGCTGAAGAGGGGAAGTTGCGGTCCTTGAAATATGAGGACATCTGGGATGTCCGGGAGTGGAACACCTCATCTTGGGAGTGGATGCGGCGGAGGTGGAGGAATTGGGAATAGGGGATGGCATTCTTGCAGGAAGGTGGGTGAGAGGAGGTGTAGTCTCGGTGGCTATGGAAGTCGGTGGGCTTGAAATAGATGTCAGTTTTGAGGCGGTCACCAGAGATGGAGACAGAGAGGTCCAGGAAGGAGAGAGAGGTATCAGAGATGGTCCAGGTGAGCTTAAGTTTGGGGCAGAAGGTGTTAGTAAAGTGGCTGACCTGTTCGAGCTCCTTCTCGGAGCACGAGGTGGCACTAATACTGTCATTGATGTAATGGAGGAAGAGGTGGGGGATAGGGCCAGTGTAGCTGCGGAAGAGGGATTGTTCCACATATCCTATGAAGAGGCAGGCATAGTTTGGGCCCATGTGGGTTCCCATGGCCAGCCCCTTAGTCTGTAGGAAATGGGAGGTTAGGCACTTTTGGAATATTGTGTTCAGTTCTCATCTCCCTGCTATGGGAAAGATGTCAATAAACATGAAATGGCTCAGAAAAGATTTACAAGGATATTGCCAGGTTCGGAGGGTTTAAGCTATACTGAGAGGCTGAATAGGCTGGGGCTATTTTCCCTGGAGCTTAGGAGACTGAGGGGTGATAAAATAGATGTTCATAAAATCATGATGGGCATGGATAGAGTGAATAGCCAAGGTCATTTTCCTAGAATGGGGGAATCCACAACTAGAAGGAATAGATTTAAGCTGAGAGGATAATGATATAAAAGGGAACTTAAGGAGCAACTTTTTCACACAGAGGGTGGTGCGTGCATGGAATGAGCTGCCAGGGGAAGTGGTGGAGGCTGGTATATTTGCCACATTTTAAAGGCATCTGGATGGGCACATGAATAGGAAGGGTTTAGAGGGATATGGGCCAATTGCTGGCAAGTGGGACTATATTAATTTAGGATATCTGGTCAGCATGGATGAGTTGTCAGTGTTGTACATCACTATGACCCTATAAGTCTATAACTGGGTCTAATCAGAACACTCTTCACAGAGTTAGAACAGACATGATAAACTGAATGGCCTCCATCTGTGCTACTTGGTTCTAATTTCTATAATCCTGCAAAACTAAAAGAAAATTTATAGGATCTGTGAATCTGTCTCCTGACCATACTGTAAAATTAAGAGCTCAAACCTTTCTCCAGGCAGATACAATAGGGGCATTTAAGGGGCTATTAGTTGAACACATGAATATGCAAGGAATGGAGGGATATGGATCAAGGGCAGGCTGAGGGGCTTCGTTTAATTTGGCGTCATGTTCGGCACAACATCGTGGGTCGAAAGGCCCTTTCGTGTGTTGTACTATTCTGTGTTGTATGTCTTTTGAGTATTGACTGTTTCCCTCTGCCACCAGAAATTTTCCTGACATTCCAACTAACCTCATATGTTTATATTTCCCAGACAGCAGTGAATGGAAATACAGATCCCATGAAACGATCCTAAGAGGAATACACAAAATGGGAGCTGTATAATCAGGTCTCGAATTGGTGTTGAATTTGAGGAGACCTAACACACACATTAATCGCCCCCATTCTCCCAAAATGCCCAGTTGTGTTTATAAAAGAAATAATCATTGGAAAAGAGTCAATGGAGAAAATCATCGCTGAAGGCAAAGTTTTCTGCGGCTATTCAGTTTTCCCTTCCTGACTGCATAGTCTGTGAAATGATGATTTGTTCTGTGGACTAATTGCCAAGTGGAAGGCACGTTTGTTGCACTTGCAAATACTTTAGCACGGGATGAATCGCCTTCTCTCCAGACCCAGTTTTTCTCCCCAATAAGCCTCTGATTCTTCTTGCATTGCGCCCAGTGTCGCCTGAGCTGCAATGAAATGTCCAGCTAGTGCTGATTCACAGACCACAAAAGTCCTCTTGTAGCCTTTGAGGGTCACGCACTGACAGGGAGCAGAAATCTCATCGAGAAAGAAAGGTTTCAAACAGATACTGTGCCCAGCAACTTTTGGCAGCAGTTGGGGATTCTGTTGAGTAATTTGAGATTAGCAGGAAGTTCTCAATTGGAAATATCTGCTCAGCAGCAAAGGAGACGGACACCTTCAGTTTGTGGCTGTACTGACTTTACTTCTGTAGACACAGGTAAGTTCCTGTTTGACTTTTTTTGCTAACATACTACTTGTGCTAACGTGTGGTTTTGCACGACAGGAGAGCATTGAGAACGTTACAATGAGGACGTGTCGTTTGCAATGCACGCTATCCAAACCGAATTTTCCAAATGTTTTGCTGATACGTTATTTAAGTTGAAAGGGGTGAAATTACTCTCTACCCTGCAGTACCTGTGCATGTCCTGATGAAAGGTCATTGATGTGAAACATTAACTCCATCTGTCCCTGCAGATGCAGCCTGACCTGCTGATATTTCTCACCTTTTCTCGTTACAATTACAGATTTCCAGTATCTTGCTTTGGTAGCAGGGTCATAACGAATGAGGAGCTGATTTTTCTCCATGTTCAATATTCTTTCCACTGAAATCCACAGAATTTCAAGCCTTGTTTTTTTTTGGAGTCTTCTTTACTGGCCCCATTGTCATTTGTTTTGGGTTTGGAAGTGAACGTTTTGACATTTTTCGTTTATTGGAAACAAACATTGATGTAGTTAAAAAAGACTCATTTGGCATTTCAAGTGAAGCTCATTTTGTGCAGCCTAGTTGGACTCCTGCTTCAAATATTTATATCCCAGCCTCGTCATATTAATGTTGACCATTTTAAAAAAATCTTTCCTGACAAATAGGTAAGGTCAGCATTTGTTCCCCACCCCTAATTGCCCTTGAAATGCTAAGCCACTTTTTAGAGGGCAATTTGGAGTCCATCACATTACTGTGGATCTGGAGTCACTTGTGTTCCAGACTGTGGAAGGGCATCAGATTCCCTTCCCAAAAGGACATCACTGAACCAGATGGGCTTTTTTTACACCAAACAAAAAAAAATCATGCTTTGTCATGATCACTGTTCATCACAGCAGATCTATTGATTTGGTTTAAACTCCACCAGCTGCTGTGATGGGATTTGAATCCACAACCTCCGAACTGTTCTCTTCCATTGATATCACAATGTGGAGGTGCTGGCGTTGGACTGGGGTGGACATAGTCAGAAATCACGTGACGCCAGGTTATGGTCCAGTAGGTTTATCTGAAATCACAAGCTTTCGGAGTGCTGCCCAGTCGTCAGGTGAAAGTTCATACCACCACTGTGTCTCCATCTTCCTCTCAGGGCCTGAGCTGTCTGAATTGATAAAACTTCTAAGAAAATAATGTGAATCGTTTCAGATCTTTAATTATCCGAAAATGTGGAGGCAGGTTGAATTCAAGTGGATAGGAATGGTGTGGAGGGATGTGGGGAAAAGGTAAGAGATTGGCACTGGGTTATAGAACCACAGCTGAACAGCCTCTTTTGTGCTATAGCTTTTCTATGATTCTGTAATTACTAACACATAATGATTGACAATAATATTGAGATTTGGACTCACATCAATATACATGTTAACTTATTTCTAGTTTATAGCTAGTTTGATAATGATTGCTGGTGCCAAGAGACGTCACATATTGCATTAGTCAAAGATACCCTTCAAGCTTCTGCTAAAACTCATCTGTATATCCTCAAATGTAAAACCCTCCATAAACTCCTGCAAGCTGTCACCATAATAAAACATAATTGTTTCTTGAATTTATTTTCCCATTAAAAAGTATGCCTTAATGTGCTTGAGAAAATATAACCTGGTTCAGTTTTATTAATATATCTGAAACCGGATTTAATCACCATTTTTGGAGCATTTCTAATGGCAGAGTTTCTACCTGTGATTGATGGAAAATCACTGAAAATAATTAAAAAAGACGACACTGAACCAGTTAATCACATCTTCTCTGTTGTGCACTGAACAGTCACTTTGCCGATTTGCTTTTTATTTCCTGGTAGAAAAATGCTTTTGTTCAAATTTATGACAATGTAGTGAAGGAACAGCAGTGACTGGTATTGAAGGAACGGTGTGTATTTACAACTCAGATCGTAAGTAGCTTGGAGTGGAATTTGCAGGTGGTGGTGTTCCCCTCCATTTGCTGCCCTTGCCCTTCTGGATGGCCATGGTTGTGGGTTTGGAAGGTACTGTCTAAGAAGCCTTGGTGAGTTGCTGCACTGCATCTTGTAGGGGATCAATGTAAAGGTAAAGTCGCTATCGTCCTAGACTATAGGGCTAATCTCTCATTAGAGAGAGAAGACCGGTCGTGAAAGAAGGGTTTGAGAAGGTGAGTGTTTCACAGCAACTTCAGTCAGATTCAGGAATTAAACCCTATGCTTCCATTTCATGGAATCCTTACAGTGTGGAAGCAGGCCATTCAGCCCATCAAGTTCACACCAAACCTCTGAAAAGCATTTCACCCAGGCCCACTCCCCGACCCTTTCCTTGTAGCCCTGCATTTCCCCAGGGTTAACCCACACATCCAAAGACAATACAAGCAAGTTGGCATGGCCAATCCCACCCAGTCTGCACGTCTTTGGACTGTGGAAGGAAACCGGAGCACCTGGAGGAAACCCACGCAGATACAGGGAGAATGTGCAAACTCCACACAGACAGTCACCTGAGGGTGGAATTGAACCTTTGTCCATAGCGCTGTGAGGCAGCAGTGCTAATCACTGAGCTATTGTGCTGCCTTCTGCTTCTGGTATTGCAGTCCAGCCAACTGAGCTAACCAACTCAGTGCGTAGATGGGACACACTGCTGCTACTGAGTTGTGTCTTTGGAAATTCTGATGAAGTGACCAGATAGTGATGCTAAATGCTGCAAGGCTTGCTTTAAAGTGAACATAAAGGGAAATCTTCCTGACATCAACAGACTGTTGAATGCTTGAATTGTGTTCAAAATATAATTGCCCAAGCTTCCGATTGGTTTTGAAATTTTCTACCTGAGTTGGGAATGTCGGTAAAAGGGGCAACAACACTATTTTCCCACATTATATCCATGTCCTGTGATATTTTCACTGTGTGGAAAATTTCTGCAGGACAAAAATTCAAAATGCCATCAGGAGACTGTCCATTCGTATTATTTCATTATTCAGAAAGACCCTTTGACAGATTAAAAAAAACTCTAATGTGCAGGGAGAGCAAGAAATGTAGGAAATTTGCAAATTTGGCCAGCAGATTTATGTCCTAAAGCTGGTTGAAAATCTGCATTCTGAATTGAACTGGGATAACCACAAAGGTTTCTGAAGAAGGGTCCAGACCCGAAGCTTTCCTGCTCCTCTGATGCTGCCTGGCCTGCTGTGTTCATCCAGCTCTACACCTTGTTATGTCCACATAAATACAATGGCTATGAGAGAAGGTCAGAGGTGAGGAATCCTGCAATGAGTAACTCAGTTCCTGACTCCTCTGTCCACCATCTACATGAGTGTGATGGAATACTCCCCACCTGCCTGAATAAGCATAACTCCAACAACACTCAAGAAAATTGACACCATCTGTTGTGTAGTCATTTCAGTGATTCCTTGCCATGAGTCCGAAGGAAGAAAATGTTCTCGATGTGTCTGGTATATAGCGTTGGTTGGAGGTTCTGTGCAGCAAAGAAGTCTTGCTTGAACTTGTGCATGAAAATGTTAGCGTTGGGGTGCAAATTTGGTGTGCATGGCTGTTTCTTATGTTTGGATGAAGAACTGGTTGTGGAAGGTGAAGACATTGTGGTTGAGGACGAAGCAGTTGAGTTGTAGGATGGTGTATGAAAATTGACAGTTGTTGGTTTTCAGTTCTGAGGCTGTTGCAATGATAACATTGTCATGGGGAATGCTGACGCAGAGTGCTGAAATGACTCCATTGTGATGAGGAATATTCCTGGTTTGACTGGTCCATGGGTGCTGAGTTTCTGTAAGAAGTCTGTAGTATCGTGACAGAAGCTGTGGGCTCCTTGTACAGTGGGCTTCAAGATGTCCTTGACATAGTCAGACCTTGAACATAGACAGACCATTGTTCACAGCAAACTACCCAGCCTTCAGGACAACATCGACCACAACACGATACAACCCTGTCATGGTAACCTCTGCAAGACATGTCAGATCATTGATATGGACACTACCATCACACGTGGGAACACCACCCACCACGTACATGGCAGATACTTGTGTGACTGGGCCAACGTTGTCTATCTCATACACTACAGGCAAGGATGCCCCGAGGCATGGTATATTGGCGACACCATTGCAGATGCTAAGACAAAGGATGAATTCTCAGACAGGAATGTTACTTCCCAGTCAGGGAGCACTTCAACGGTCAACGATATTTAGTCTCTGATCTTCGGGTAAGCATCCTTCAAGGCAGCCTTCAAGATACACAACAACACGGAATCGCCTAGCAGTAACTGATAGCCAAGTTCTGTACCCATGAAGACGGCCTCAACCATGATCTGGGGTTCATATTGCGCTGCATGTAACTTCACCATACTGCTCTACAAAATCTTTCTTTCTGTCCTGTTTTGGCACCATCACCTTGATAACATATAATGATCTCTCTAACTTAATTAGTCTGTACAGTTTTGGATTACTTAATGCTTTGGTTAGACTCTCAGCGTGCAACTCTGATCCTTATCATGTTATTCCAGTCATTTGGTTTTCTCCAGCACCATCTTATTTTTAATTCTCTTGTAATTATCTCTCTGTCTCAATTAATCTGATTGTAGGTCATCCCTTCACTCATCATTCAGCTTTGACACTTTACTCACACCATCTGACACTCTTGGTCACCAGCAGAGACCATCTTATTTGATCTGTCAACACTCCATTCACACCATTTGTATGATCTTTTGATCTCTCTGGTTATAAAGTCTGTGCCTGGGTGCCCTTCACTTCACCTGATGAAGGGGCAGAGCTGTGGAAGCTTGTGATTTTAAATCAACCTGTCGGACTATAACCTGGTGTCGTGTGACTTTCAAACAAGCTAGGCATTGAGAAAAGTCGACATAGAAACCAGTGGGTACCTGGTTACTTCAACTCACTGCTTGCTCCAATAGACCCCCATGTTGGAAATTGGGCATCAACATCTCAGGGCACGCTCCATTGGCACAGGCCACGTATACCCCATGTCCATGAACTGATTTGATTTGATT